TATCAAAGTTTGACTGCAGAATGCAATGCTTTCTAAAAAGCGGCTGAATGGCAGGTAAATCGGGGCACGGCTCGCACACTTGCCGCGCCCCCGGCCCCACAGCCAGCGGACCCCTGAGCCAGGACAGCAGAGTCAGGCAAGGCGAGACCTGAGCTGACTGCGTCCCGGGGGTCGGGCCGGCGGGTCTCGCGCCCTCGGCTGCCCAGGCCGCCAGGGCCAGCAAGGCCAAGCACCCCGGGATGCTCCCAGAGCGCAGGCCGCATGGGGCTCAGGGGCCCGGAGAGGCGCTGACCCTCACCGCCCCGCAGGCTCTGCCGCACGTTCTGGCTTATGGACCTGTGGCACCGGTGGGGCAGGCAGGCCAGGGCCGGTGGACGGGCCGCCTGGATGGGCCCGGCCACGCCGCGGCCAGATCCCAGCGGCAGGCCCGGGCCTCACTCCACTTTTGCTCACACACACCCACAGGGCGCCTGGGGCTAGCGGGTCAGTGCAGAGACCCCCCAAGGCCAGCGCACGGCCTCCGCAGGCTCGTGCGTCCGCAGGTGCGTCTCCTGGGGGCGGGCGGACTGGGAAGCCAGTGGCCAGTGGCCAGGTGGCGGCCTGTGCCCGGAGCGCACGCGCTGACAGCCCAGCTGGGGCCCGCGGGAAGGGACGCCGCGGCCCTGACCCCTCCGGACCCGGAGGCTCTCGAGGCCGATGAGCGGGCTCTCGCGGAAGCCCGACCTTCGCCTCCTGGGTCGGTCCCGTAAAACCCTCTTCTCCCTCACCGGCGTCCTTTAGCCACGCTTCCCGGAAGGGCCTTCCCGGGGCGCCAGCCGCGTGCGCAGCTCGGGGCTGGCCAAGGGGCGGCTCCCGGCCCCGGGGCTGGGCGGTGCCTCTGCGGCACTCCTGGGGAGCCTCCGGAGCAAACTGGGCTTTAAAATAGTGTCAGGTGGCCATGAACGCTGGAAGGTCATCCTGAGTAAACCCCAATCGCGCACCCGAGGGGACGGGGCCGGGCTTCGGGGCAAGCAGGCCCAGGCGGCCGGCGGGGAGACGCGAGCGTGAGGGCTCCCTCAGGCACAGCCGAGCACGCCGGCTTCTCCGGCACCGGCACGCCCACCGGTGAGCGGGGCGAGCCTCCCACGCCAGCGCCTTTCCTTGCGGGGCTTTCTGGGGGCTTGGCTCCCCCTCCTCCCCCGACCGCGCCCCGCGAGCCCCGACGCTTACCATCTGGAAGCTGCGGGTCGAGTGGAACTCACACTGCATCATGTCGAAGAAGATGGGGATGGTGGCCTTCCGCAGCTCCGTCTCCGGGACCAGCGTCATCTCCAGTATCGGGCCAACCATTTCCGGGATGAACTTGATCTTGTGTTGACCTTGAGTAGAGAGAGGCGCCCTTCAGAAAAGCGTGTGTGGTGCGTATCGATGAGAGACTCAAGAACGGGCTGCGAGGGGCACAGCCCAGCAGTGGGTCCCTGTGAGTGGGGGAGCCTGTGGCCTGTCCACTCGCAGGCCGCAGCTGCAGCTGGACTGTCCCCTGCGGGCGACAGAGGCCTGCCACTGCATACGATGGAGGCCTGTTCACCGCGGACGATGGAGGCCTGTCCACCATGGGCGATGGGAGCCTGTCCGTCTCGCGGACAAGCACATAACAATGGAGGCCAGGGCTCCTGGGGGCGGCGAGTCCTTCACAGCAGGGCGGAGACTCCCTGAG